CCGCCCCGCCCCAGAGGTGGCCGCATCTCAGCGCCGGGCGAGGGGTCTTAGCTGTAATTCAGCTGTAGTAGGTTGTTATCCTCTCATCTGACACCCCCCCCACACACACCTGTAGGGGAAACTAAGCTGCGGAGTGCTGGCCCAGGTTCTGCCCCCCACCAATGCCCCCAATCCCGCCCCCCAGGCCCAGCCCTCCCCGGGAAGAGCCCCCCAGTGAGGAGCGGAGGCGCCCTGAGACGCTGCAGATCTGGCAGGAGAGGGAGCGGCAGCAGCAGGCGTTGCGGAGCCAGGCGCTGGAGAAGCGGGACAGGTACGTGGAGGGGGGGCGGGCCCCCGCCGGGGCGGGGGGGGGGGGGGGGGCGCCCCCCCCCCCCCCCCCCCCCCCCGCGAGACCCTCCCCCCCCCTGCGCCCCCCCCCAGGAGAGGTCCTCTCCCCCCCCTCATTGGCAGGTTGCTCCTGTCTCCCCTGGGCCCTTGAAGCCCCGTGGAGCTGCTGGGATTCAGGTGCCCCCCCCCCATATAAGCTAGAGCTGCCTTGGGGCTGCTCTAACGCTGTCACCCTCTGGAGGTGAGAGTGGCTGAGCGGTTCCCCTCGTCCCCCCCGCATACCCTGCCTCCTCCCCTCACGGCCAGGATCGGAGGCCCTATCCCAGTGTGGGGGGCACTTCCCGCCCCCTCGGGTGCCCGGAGCAGCCCCCTCACCTGGCTCTGTCTCCCCTCAGTGGCCCATCAGAGAGCAGCAGCCTGCCCCCGAGGAAGCCGAGGACCCAGGTGAGAGGGGAGGGACTGGGGTTGGAAGGGGTTTGGGGGTGGGGGGGATGGTGCCCCATGGGACTCAGGCTGACTCCCCTCCCCCCCCCCCCCCCCGCCGTTTCCGGGCACCGAGCAGCCGCCCGGCGTCTCCAGCCCGGCGTCCCCTGGGCAGATGCCCCAGCAGCAGGGTGAGTGCGGGAAGGGGGGGTGCGGCCAGGAGAGGGGTAATGCTCGGGGGGGCCGGGGAGAGGCCGCGGCAGGAGACGTATGGCCAGGGAGTGTCTCCGGGGAGGGGAGTGGGGTCTGGTGGTTAGAGCAGGGGGGCTGGGAGCCAGGACTCCTGGGTTCTCTCCCTGGCTCTGGGAGGGGAGTGGGAGCTGGTGTGTTAGAGTGGGGGGGCTGGGAGCCCGGACTCCTGGGTTCTCTCCTGGCTCTGGCATGGGACACGTATCCCCCTGGGGTAGCTGATCCTGGCTGAAGGGACCTGCAGCGCCGAGGTCCCAGCTGTGCGGTTCGGGGGTGCTGTGGGGAAAGATCTCACCTTCGCTCTCCCCCTGCCCCCCAGAGTCCCTCCCCCCGCCGGTCTCCAGCCCCCCGGCCCGGGAGCCCAGCTCGGCCCAGAAGCCCAGCAGCTTCCTCTTCCGCTCCTCGTCGCGGACCGCCATCAAGCCCGGCTCCGGTAGGTGGCGCCACGCGGCTCTGCCCCCCTCTGCTGGCAGGCCGGGGTACTGCCGTGGCCCCCGGCAGCTCTGCGGGTCCAGGGTTCAAATCCTGCCCGTGGCCGGCAGATCTGCACGGGGCCGTGCGCTCCCCGCCGGCCCTGCGTCTCCACCCCCCTGAGCCCTGCCGTCCTCTCCGCAGCCTGTGCCCCCCACGACTGCACCGCGGACCACCAGCACCCCCTGCGGCTACGGGCCAGCTCGCACGACCTGGATGAGAAGGAGTTAACAGCCCAGCTCCGCAAGGTACAGATGTGCCCCCCCTCCCCCGCCCCCGGGTCCCCCCGTGAGCTTCCCGCACCGAGTCCCCTGGGTGGGGCTCCTGGGGACCCCCCTGACGCCCCCCAAAGGCCCCTACCCCCCCCCCCCAGGCTTCGTCTCTCTCCCTGGCAAACCGGTCCGCTGGGCACTTCGTTCCCAGCCCCTCCGGCCGGCTCCTCGCCGGGGACAACCCTGGCCATGGGGTGCCGGGCTACAGAGCGTGGGCTGGTCTCTGTGCCCCATTAGCCCGTTGCCGTCACACCTGCCTCTAGGGGTCACCGCACCGATTCCACCCCCTAGATAGAGGAATGACACGTGGGGAAACCGAGGCGCGCACACAGTATTCAGACAAAATATTAAAGACATTCCCACTTCGGCACACCTCCCCGCCCCCGAGACCCTGAAAGCTTGGCTGAGATCCCGCACCAGGGTCTGCAAGGCTGGGAACCAGGACGCCTGGGTTCTCTCCCCGGCTCTGGGAGGGGAGCGGAGGCTGGTGGGTTAGAGCAGTGGGGGCTGGGAGCCAGGACGCCTGGGTTCTCCCGGGCTCTGCCCCTGATTTCCCGGGGAAGTAATTTGATCTTCCTCTAGACACCTGTGTGTAAGTTCCCTGCAGTGAGCGCGTGCGTGGGGGGTATCCGTGGACCCCGCCCACCTGCCCATCTCTCCCCCCCCACAGGCCATCGAGTCGCGGCTCAGCGTGACACTGACGGAGGACCTGGGTGACGCCCTGGCCAATGGGGCCGTGCTGTGCCAGCTGGCCAACCACCTGCGCCCGCGCTCTGTGCCCTTCATCCACGTCCCGTCTCCCGCCGTGGTGAGTGGGGAGCCCCGCCCCGCATTGGACGCCTGGGTTCTCTCCCCGGCGCTGGGAGGGGAGTGGGGGCTGGTGGGTTAGAGCAGGGGGGGCTGGGAGCCAGGACTCCTGGGTTCTCTCCCCGGCGCTGTGAGGGGAGTGGGGGCTGGTGGGTTAGAGCAGGGGGGCTGGGAGCCAGGACTCCTGGGTTCTCTCCCTGGCTCTGGGAGGGGAGTGGGGGCTGGGGGGTTAGAGCAGGGGGGGCTGGGAGCCAGGACTCCTGGGTTCTCTCTCTGGCTCTGGGAGGGGAGTGGGGGTTGGTGGGTTGGAGCAGGGGGGGGCTGGGAGCCCGGACTCCTGGGTTCTCTCCCCGGCTCTGGGAGGGGAGTGGGGGCTGGTGGGTTAGAGCGGGGGGACTGGGAGCCAGGACTCCTGGGTTCTCTCCCCAGAACTGAGGGCTGGGCTGCATCTTCTTGAAACAAAACCTTAGCGTCCACATGACGGGACAGCAGCTTGGGCTTCCCTGCTCCCCACAGCGCCCTGAGCCCCCCGCGGCCCCCCAGCCCTCTCACCCCTCTCTGCTCTCCCCACAGCCAAAGCTGAACAAGATCAAATGTCGGAAAAACGTGGAGAGCTTCCTGGAGGCCTGTCGCCACATGGGGGTCCCAGAGGTAACGCGGGGGCTGGGGGCGGGGGGGGCGTCTCTGATTTCTGTGCTGTGCAGCTGGGAGCAGAGAGTCACCTCTCCATGGCACCCCCGTGTGGCTGCACTAGTGCAAGGCCCTGCCCCTTCTTGTGCAGTTGCACTACCCTGTGCAAAGCCCAGCCTCTCTCTCTGCCCTAGCCTCTCATGCAAGTGGACTGTGCTCATGTGATTGCCATGCCCTCTCTTGTGCAAAGCCACGCCCCGCTTGTGCAAAGCCACGCCCCTCTCACACAAGCCACGCCCCAGGCACGGCTAGGGGTACGGATTCCCAGCTGACAGGCCCCTCGCCCCAGGAGCTGCAGTGCTCTTGGGGTCACCCCCCCGAATACCCTGCTGCGCCCACCCCCCTGGGCCGGCGATGACGGCTCCTGTCCCCCCTTTGCACGGCAGCAGCGTCGGGGCTGAGACCCTGCACGGCTCCCCCCCCAGCTGAGCGTGGGGCCCGTCATACAGCACCCAGGGAGAGAACCCAGGAGTCCTGGCTCCCAGCCCCCCCTGCTCTAACACACCAGCCCCCACTCCCCTCCCCTTCTGGCTCTGGCAGGGTCCCCTGGGTGCTGGCAGATGCAGGGTTGCCAGCCCAGCGCAGTGGGCGGGGCGGGGGGCAGCCGGTCTCATTTTCCTCCTCCCCGGTGCCAGCCCCCCAGCAGGTCCCGTAACCTCTCTCCTGTCTTTGTCTCCCTCGCCGGGCCCAGGTCGCCCTCTGCTCCGCCTCCGACGTGCTCCAGGGGGACGCCGGGCGGCTCCGGGGCACCCTGCGGGCCCTGCTGCGCCCCGGAGCCGCCGAGGAGAGCCCTGCCGCTGCCCACGCCGCGCCCGCCCTACCCGGGCCCCTCGCCGGCTTCGCCCTCTTCTATGTCTCCGTGATGTCGCTGCTTTTCCTGGCCTATCACAAGCTCTGGGGCTTCTGAGGAGCCGCGGGGGGGCCCCAGCCCTGCCTAGTGCCTTAGAGAGACCCACGGCGGGGTGTGGGGCTGGGTATCCCTCTGGGGCCTGGTGGATCCCCGCTGCCGGCCCCCGACCGCCTTCAAACCCGCCTCCTCCTACAGAGACCTGCTGTGGGTCCCAGAGCCCTGGTGTGGGCCCCGCTCCAGGCTCCCCCTTGGGGGGCGAGCTAGCCCCCTTCCCCAGCTCTCCAGTGCCTCTCAGTGGCCACGGGCTGCCCTGCGGCCAGCTCGCTTCAGCTGCCTTAACGCGGTTAAATTATACGGCTCTATATTTGATATATATATTGGAAGGCCGAGCCCGGCCGCCGGGCCCGGCATGTACAAACGTGTAAATAGCGTGTGGACTCGGGCGGCCCCTTCTCTCTCGGCGATTTCCTGTTGTACGTGTGCCCCGTCCCCTGGCCGCTTTCGGTGTGTCCCGGCCGCCGCGTGTGTGTCATGCCCCCCGCGCTGTCGCGTTCGCTGAGAAAAGCAGCGCTCCAACCCACCGTGTGGCTTTTGTCTTGGTTTGCATTGGCTTGTCTGTGCTTTGGCGCGGCCGGGCTGGTGCCCTCTGGCCCCGTGGGGATGGGGTGGGGGGCAGTTCACGGGTCACGTGGCGACTGGGGGCCCCCTTGGGCCGGGCGCTGCACAGAACGTGGCCCCGGTGAGTCGGCCTCGCACAGGACTTGCTGTTCAAGGGGCCCATCTGGCCTGGCGTCCCGGCTGCTCTAAAATCTCCCTCCCGCCCCCTTGCAGAACAGCTTGTCTCCCACAGTGAGTGGTGGGTTTCTTCCACCAGCGCCCCTGGTGGTGGAGGTCCAGGCAACCGCCTCCCCACCCCCTCTAACGTCTCCTCTCTCCTCCCAGGAAGCCCTGTGCCAGCCCCAGCACGTCCTGGACGAGGAGAGCCTGGCGCCGCTGGCCCGGACCGTCCAGGCCCTGCTGACTGTGGCCCCGCCCCCGAAGAAGCCGACTCCCCCCGAGGGCACCTCCAGCAAGATCTAAGGGGTGGGGGCCCAGGCGCTAATGGCACAGCCGAGGGGCCAGGGACTAGAACGCCCCGGGCCCTGTGGGGGCTGGACAATGGTGAGAGTTCCCCCACATGGGGGACTGGGGGGCCCAGCTCATCCCCAAGCAGAACAGACGGTACAGCAAGGGGCCCTGCCCCCTACCCCCCAGCGAGAGCTGGGCGCCCTTTGGTGGCAGTGGTGGGATCCTCGGACCAAGCCCAGCTCCTACTGCTCAACCCCCCCGTCCCCTCCAGCGTCTGTGTCAGCCGCGCGAGCCCCCTTGGGCTAGAGTGGGGGGGAGGGGAGGTTGTGAGCAGATGTGGGGTAAGGATTGGGGGAGTTGATCTCAAGGGGGGGCAGTTTTATTTCCCTGCAGGGAGGAAATGGGGCCCAGGCACCAGCTGCTCCCCCCCTCTGGGAGCGACGGGCTTGGGCTCCCTGCAGACTCAGGCAAGGTCGCCGGACTGGGGGTTGCAGGGCAGCCGCCGGCCGTGGGGCACTGGGGCGGAGGGAGGCCCCCCTTTCCTTAGCGTTTCCCGGGGGGGGGGGGGCAGATTGCCCTGACCAAGCAACGGCGGGGGCTGCGCCCGGCGGGGGGGGTCCCCCCCCCCCCCCCCGAGCTGCATCCGCTGGCACCAGCAGTGCCCTCTAGTGGAATAAAGAGGTAAATGAACCCACGCCCTCGGCCTCTAGGCTGGTCTCTGCCACCCCCACGCCTGGCAGCCAGGGGCTGGACTACTCCCCTCCAACTTGCCAGCCTCAGTTTCCCCTACACCCACCCTGCAACCCCCCTATCCAGCCCGGGCTCTGTGCCCCCTTTTCCCTCTCCGGGTTCTGATCTCCCCCAAACTCCTGGAGGGTTCAGGGCCATGCTGCCTGGACCGGCCCTGGCTCTCCCTTCCGCCTTCCCCCCCCCCCCCGGGACTGGGGCCAGAGGTTGGGGGTTCGCCTGCCCAGCTCGGGGGGTCTCCGTGCCCGGCGCCCTCCCCGGTGGGGTTCCTGACCTCACCCACGGGGACATCAGGGACCCGTTCCCAATCCAGGCCGTGAGGGGGGGGGCTGCAGCTTGGGGGTCCCCCCTTCGCACCCCAAACGCAGCCCCAGGCTGGCGCCCGGCTGAGCACTCGGCCCAGTTCCACCTGCCCGCAGAGGCGCCGGGGGCCAGGGCCAATTCCCACCAGCCCCCCCAGAGCAACCCCAGGAGTCCAGGGGGTCCCTGGGAAACCAGCTGCCCCACACCAGCTCTGGGGGTGGGGGCTGGGAGCCAGGACTCCTGGGTCCTCTCCCTGGCTCTGGGAGGGGAGGGGGGGGCTGGTGGGTTAGAGCGGGGGGAGCTGGGAGCCAGGACTCCTGGGTTCTCTC